AATGAACCTGTCCAACCTACCTATGAATGGCCCTCTCACGTAGCAGAGATAATAAACGGGATTCCAGTAAATAGTACTTTTGACAGTCGGGTGAACACCGACATGACTACGGAATTTCTCGTCCAACTGAGCGTCCCTGATGGTTGCTAAGGCAATCGATAACCGATATTTGAGGTAAAAGACCTGGGAGAAGACATATGGAAACCCGGGGATACCACCCAACAAGACTGTGAAGAAGTCATCGTCAATACTTGAAAAATCTCATTTATTGAGACGTAAAAGATTGGGAGAGTATTTATCGAGAATTTGATGGTCATTTATCGAGACTTTCGGAGTTAACGTTTGTCGAGACTTTGGGTGAGACCTCACTAGAGACTTGAGGAAGCATTCCTCCTTCATGTTTATGACTTGGTGGGATAAAATTTCAGCTAATTTGAAGTGAGATCTAAACAGACGAAGACCGAGTCGGGGCATTTATTTAATTTTTTTTTTTTTCTTTCTTTCACGTGAAAAAAAATGTAATTTTCATATGATAATGTGATAATCTTTTATATCAGCTGCAAGTTTATCGGATTTTTTTTTTTTTTTCAACATTAAATAAAATCATTTGAGGGTTTTTTGCTTTTTTTTTATACAAACATTCAATGGGAAAATAATTATCGTTCTTCTTTAAATAAATAAATTATAATCATGTATGACTAATGAATCACAAATGTATACCTCGCGTGATGGAAATTATGTTTGTTTGATTTTCGAAGAGCATAAAACACGCGTGGTGTGTCGCGTGAGCGTAACCATTATATGATTTAGAACACAATTGTATATTTCTTTTGGGAAGAATGCAGTCATTCAATGCCGTCTTTTTTTTCAAACAAAATAACAAAATGCACGACGGATATTTTTCTTCGGTTCATATGATGGACCCCATGACACTCAACAAAGAAATATTGTTTGGTCGATACTTATTGCATTCGAATCATGAGCTCAAACACGATGCAGTATCCTGGTAACATGACGACCGATGTGTAACACATCAACTGTATATCATCATGTATTTGATTCCTTCCCCTCGAAAAAAAAATTTTTTTTGAAATCGAAAACTTTTTTTATTAACATTCGTCAATTTTTATTGATAAATTTAATTTATTTAATTTAATTTATTACCCCTCCTTCCTCTAAATAAAACCCCATTGCCAAAGAAAGGTATAAACAATGGTTATATGAGATTATACACAACACAATGAAGTAAAATAAAAATACAACCAGAGGAAATCAATCGTAGGAAAATATAAACATGCGTAATTGTTTAGACTACCCCTATTATAGTATAGGTAAATGTTATTATTGTGCACGTGATCGTCTCCATTATCCGCAAATTGTATTTTCCCTCACAAAGTCCTCGTGAAGTTGCATCAAAGAACATTGTGTTTCAAAGTAGACTTCGACATAAGGAAAGCTATAGAGCTCGTTATTTTGAAATTGATGCTGAGGGACCGCCATCAACTCTCCCTGATAAAACGGATAATTGCTCGGTCCGATTGAGGGCTGAGAGTAATCTTCATTCAATCCATTGTCATCGAAACCACCGAAATTGAACTCGCAACAAGAAGGTTTCAAGCAAACATCTTCGCTTACATTGACAGGACACGAGACAATACATGGTTTGACATTCTTCTCTTGCTTCTTCTCTTGCTTCTTCTCTTGCTTCTTCTTTTTCTTTCTTCTCTCCGATTTTTCATAGCTTTTGGCGTTCATGTTCACATATTCTA